AAGTAGTTTCAAAAACACTCACTTATTTTTGGAAATGTAAGTAAAGCAAATCCATAATTGCCCTATGGAGCACATGTATGGTGCTCTAGCAGTGGATTCTGTAAAACTCCTGACTCTGAGACTACATTAAAACTTTTGTATGCATTTTTCATATCTCATAAAGCTATAAGGAAACACTAATAATTGAGCTTCTGTCAAACACAGAACATAAGGCTGACTGGAATTCTTATTTGATTTAAAAATACTCTCCTCGTGGTTTTAAAGTTTCAGTGGTGGAAATTCCACCACCACTTTCGATTTTGGTAATCTATTCTAACAATTACTTACATTCAGTCACTGTTAAAGACGTATTTCTTATTTTTATTCTGAATTTGTCTAGCTTCAACTTCTGGACTGTGTCTTTTGTTAAGCCTATCTGCTAAAGCTCCCTGGGATTATATTTAATTTCTCTAGGATAGGTATTTTTAGAAATATCAAACCATTCCTTAACCTCTGTGTGTTATACTTACATTACTTGAGTCTTCGGATGCAAAGCTATGCATCTTCCTGTATCTATTTCCAGTCCTTTAATCATTTTCATTGACCTTCTCAAACCCTTTGGTCTTTCAACATTTGTCTTGATTGTGGGTGCTGTAACTAGAGCGTTTCTGACAAGGATCCTGCCACCACCAAGCACAAAGGGTAAACTCTCCTCTTTGCACCCTCAGATCCTGTTAGCATCCTTGGTTACAAAATCGCCCTGAAAATGCATATTCAGCCAATTGCATACCGTGACCTCCAAAATTGTTTTTGGAGTCATTCTGCCCAGCACAGTGTCCTTTTAATCTTCATTCCTCCAATGTTTTTCTCATTTGCCTATCTAGCCTATCAGTAGTGATTTTATACGTTTTCCTCCTGGTCATGAAAACGAACATTAACAGCACAGAAGCTAGGCTTGATCCCTGCAGGACTCCGCTTGAAAACACACCCTGCTCAGCATCCTTCTTTCTGCAGTTATATTGAGGACAAGGAGCAAAACAATTTTTTTTCCAATCTGCTGTATATGTGCTGTATTGATTATTGTTTTCTAAATTACTCAATGCTCATAACAAATGCATTATGCCAACAATATCACTTTATTAATCAAAATTAATGTCATAAAGAGATACAAACTGAGTCTGACTACACCAAATTGCCAAAAGCCTGTGCTTGATTGGCATGAGTTGCCTTTTTATTTACTGGTCAACAAAATAGCTTATCTACTGCTCAATTATTTTATTCACCATCAAAGTCATGTTGGTAAACACAACATGTCAGAGATTGCCCTGTTTGACTTCATTCCCCCCCCCGCCCCCGCCTCAAAAAAAGAAATGAGATCATACGAATTTTCTTCCAGTGCTCTGGGAACTTTCCAGTGCTCCAAGACACATCAACAATCAGCAGCAAGTATCCAAATTAAGAAACTCTTTCAATATGCAGTTTGGACTGAAAACGTAGATGGTGCAATTCAACATCCTTTCGGATTATCTCTGGAAGGTAAGTATCTCACCATCAGCATATTGCACAACCGCTGCCCCCCTGCCAAACCACAACCTGAAAACTGTTCTCCAATAACTTTTAAACCATTAGTTTACATTCTTTGCTACCAATTTTTGTCTCTTCTCCTTCCCTTGACAAGTATAGCTGTTTTTTCTTCCCTTCCAAGCCTTGTTTTCCCTGGAACATTTGGCCAAGTATTCTTAAACTATTCCTAGTTATTAATATTTTTACATTCACATTATTTACTCAGCTGAAGTTGATTTTAGCTTTGCGAGACAGTCTCCTCTAAAGCATTTGTTAGATGCTGATGTGCACCTCATTTACATGAAGAAAATGTAATCAAGTCATGATCACCGACACCTAAATAATGACTCATTGTGGCCCTGAGCAATTCCTCTTTATAAGTTGAGTTCTATCAAAGAATCTCCGTTGGCTATGTCACTTTTCACACTGAAAAACTGTGGGGTTTTTTTTTGTGTGTGCCTTTTTTTTTTCTTTTTTTTTTTTTTAATTTCAGTGGTATCACTTATACAGAAAACCCCAAAGGTCTTATATCACTTATATAAAAAACCCAGTAGGTCTTTTTAGTCCCATGTTAATTTTATTTTCATGTGATTTAGTGTTTGATATAAATCACCTACCTACTTTATTTTTGCACCAGACCATTATCTGTTGTTCCCACAGTCGTCCTCGTAGTATTAGGCAGTATTTCCCAATACTTTGGCTTCTTAGGGCACGCTTTTTTTTTTTTTTTTTTAAGTAAAGCTGGCAGCACAGAGCAGATGTCTCCGCGTTGTCTTGCTGCTGCCAAGAGTGTCTGGGCAGCAGTCCCAGTCACTGCAGAAGGCGTCGTGCTTATACCCCCACCCGCACGTCCCCAGGGCCGCACGCTCCTGCCAGGCTCCCCAGACTGCCCTGAGCACCCTCCTGCCCGTCTTCTCACAGCACGCATCTCCCCAGCTGGCTCCCGCCGCAGCTGCTGCAGCACACTCCTGCCTCTGGGCTCAGGAAAAAGGCAATGCCGTGTTTGTCAGTCGAGGTACAGTCTGTTACTAATTGGAAGCAAAAAGCAAGCTTGGAGGCACTTCTCTACCAGCACCTTCAATGGGTCACGTATTAAAAATACAAACCACAAAAGTAAGCCACCCGCTTTTGCCTTTACCATTCCTTGCCTAGCTGAGGACAGAAACTTGTTTGAGCCGTTAACAAATTAATGAGTCCTAGCAAAAGAAAGAAGTGATTCATCAAACTTGGTAATCAGAAGTAAGACTTTGGCTCGTAGTTTTGGGATCGGTTTCTGCAGCCTTCCTTCACGCAGGCAGTCACAATACCATTGCTGTAATTATTTTCATACACTGTACTTGTGCAGTTACATATTCTTTTAGTTTTTATAGAAGTACTACATTGTAAACTACTAATTTTCTCTTGTGGACGTTAGTGCATTTCAACATGGAAGCAGCACAGAGAAAAAACTAAAAAGAAAAATGTGAATGGATTCGTGATCTGGTAAGATTTTAAACATGAAATTGTTTTCTATGAGGCTGAGCAGCACCCTTACTACAGAAAATCCAGATTTAAAGCTAAGTGACAAGCTCCACAACACATCCCCACCAAGGCACGGGGCTAATTCTGTGGACAATGTACAACCTTGTCCTTGTGGGTTTGATAAGCCATTCATTTAGGAGAACACAGACTTATGCTACTGTTCAATTCAGAGCTAAACAGACTTTTTTTTTTTAATTTGAGTGCAATTTCACAGAGAAAATCGGAACAATTATATTCCATTAAATCAGATCAACTCACTGCACAGGACTAAAGGAAGCATTATAAAAGTTGGTAAATATTCAGTGATGCAAGAACTGGAAAAAACACTCACAGCTAAGTTCTGGTAAACTCAGAACTATGTTGTTAAGGAGTCTAGCATTGCAACTACTCTTCCATGTCAAGCTATGGATCTTCTATGCTTTTCACAAAAGAAAGCCACACAAGTGTTTTACCTTACAATTCTCACCTTTTGAATATTTTGACAAGCTAGCCTCCAGCTTTTTCTTAATGACTGCCACAACTCTTAAAAGGAGCGTATAGAAGAGCCAGTCAATCAAAATCATACGGCATTAGGAAAGGCCAAAGCAGCGCATGCTAATACTGAACTGTCAGAGGTTATAAGACATTCAGATTTGAATGCTTTGGTTCTCCATTCAGAAATTGTGACAGAGAAAACAGTTCAAGAAGAATCTGGTATTTATGACATCAAAAGAAAACCAGAAAAGCATCAACTCCACTTACTCTCAGAACTGCAAATTACTCAATACTCATGAAAACGGGAGTCCTTCATTTTACATAAGTTATATCCCTTTGCTTTGCTCCTCTCTCCTCACCCTTCTCTATAGCACGTGCTTAAATTTAGATATATGAAAAGACTGAAACTTTTCCTCAAGGCTCTGTAGGACATTAAAACAGATCTATTTGGAGGCTTAGTTTATTATACATATACAGCAACAGAATTTGTTTGGGGTTTTTTTGTCTCAGGTTTTACTTCTGATGTGAAAACTGGCAAACTGGGGAAGCAGACTGATTTCAAGGCTGTTCAACACCAGTACAACGGTATTCCATTAAAATCATTCCATCGGTTAGACAATAAGGTCAGAATGAAAGGATAACAATGATGCCATTGAGCAGAAAAACACAGCAAACCTCTCAGTGAGAGAAATAAGAATGTAAAGCCAATGCTCCCAGGCAGTAGCAACAAGCTAAACCCCGCTACTGCTAATATTAACTTGCAAGTATATTTAACATTGTTTTGTTTATATAATTTTAATCTACGATAAATGAGAAAATAGAGTCTGACCCAATATGGTGATGTGCGGGAGGTAAGACTGATTAGTACTTTGAAATGCTAATAGATGCAAGTAACGTATACAGTCAGGCCTTAGTCTAACTGCACATAAACATATTCTGTACCTCTTTTCTTGTTAATAAAACAATTATGTTTCAAATTTCAAACTTTTTCAGAGAAACACTTATAACAGTTACAGCACGGCGACTTTATAATTCTAATCTAAGGGCTCCTTCCTGCTAGCCTATTCCAAAGTCAAATACAGCCACAAATACCTTGCTTTGTATCACCGATTACGTGAAAAATAGATTAAAATAGATACTTACACTATATGTGCAAGATCAAGTGGCTTTTCTGGCTGCTCAGGAAATACAGGACGAGGTGGTTCTCTACTTGGTACGCAACCAAGGGATTTACTAATTGCATGGCTCAGCTTCTTTGCAGGTGATTTCTGTTTTTGAAAAGAATGACAAGAATGAATTGCCTATTATAAAGAGCAGGGTAACACATGCAATCAGATAACAGAGAAGTGTAAAAAAATGCATAGTAGTAGAATATTCAGAAATATCCAGTTACATTATACCATACCTGAGAAATCAGTGCAGACCCTACATAGGTGAACAAGTTTTGTGGGGTTTTTTTGTGTGCTATAATATTGAAAAATGAAAGCAGTTTAACAAAAGTATATAAGATGAAGAAATAAACCAATTGTCTGGTGTTTCTATCAGGAATTAAATCAAGGGGCAGTCATATCCAATTAAGGGATTTCTTATACTTACTCACAACATCGTCTGAACGCAGGCATTGTATTTTAAGGGGAGGGCAGGGGAAGAACAAAGGACCTGGTGCATGAGCAGGTAAACCTGCATGCACAGACCGACCAACCGCCAGCACCGCTTTCATTTCCCACCTACTGGCACCAGTAGAAAGTCGGCGCCATGCCCCCTCTCCCTGTCCTTTGCAAAGGCAATTGTCTTTGAAAGACAACTTTCAAATTTTTTGTTCATTATGGGCAAAGCCAAGGTGAAACACAGCGTTAAGACGGATATGAACGACCGGTTTCTTTATTTTCTTTCACAAAATTCACTTGGTTGTGCTAACTAATCTCACAGGAGCGGCTATCCTGGGATCATCTAAGGAAGACTGAAAGGCTGGTGACAAGTGTTGCCAAACACACAAGAATGGATAGCTGGCCTGAGTCATGTGCTTAAAATGTGTTTTAAGTCCAATGTTGACTTAGAAAATTAAGTCTTAAAATGTTATTACATCCACTGAACTCACGCCAGTGATGTGGGAGGCCAGATAACGCTTTTGTGAGAGCTCAGAAGTAACCTAGCAGTTCTGTTTTTCTGATCTAACTCACTAAGAGTCCATGCATGTGTAACCTAGTGGCTAATTACTCCTATGTAATTTTTTTACTACTCCTGTAAGACATTCCAAAGCGGAATTAGGACCCATTCTCAAGGCACATTCAAATTAAAATTCAGATTAACACGGATTTAAATAGGAGGCAAGGCCACCCAGGACAGGAGTTACACATATAGTTACAGTTAATATAAATTAGTAACTAGCAATTACTAACAATTACTAATATTTACTAACAACGAAATAAACAATTAGTAATTAGTAAACCAGTGAGAATCTTCAACTCTGGGCCTCTTGGCTTTAGCACTATAAAACAGGCAATAAGGGCTTTTCTGAGCGGAGAACCTACGCGTGAGGAAGTTGTTCCCTCTGTGGATTTACATGGTTTGTAGTAGACTGGGATGCATTTTAAGTATAAAGTAAAATACTAATATCAATTGGAAAATAATGAAAAAAGTGAAAAATTCCTTTTAAATTACAAAAGAAGGATGAGCTGGATGCCTGTGAGAATATATTAGGATAGCTTGTTCTTAACTGAAGATTTATTATCCTCCTTCAATTACCTTGTAACTCAAAGTCAATGCTAACTGAGAACTCTAAAAACCATGAATGGAGGCTGCCTCTGAATTTGTGATGAATGTAGTCTTGGGAAAAAAAGAATTACTCTTGATCATATTCTTCCCTGGAGTACATGTCAGAGAAGATTCAAGTGGTAGCTACGGTCAAATTTCAGTCACATGCCTCCATCAGCATCTAACACTGCTTTACAACGTGTACTCTGGCCCGGTTACCATATTAAGACCATACTGTTTCACAAATTAAACCAATTATTCAATATGTTGCAGCCTAATTCCTTTCAGATTCTGGAATTTTTATTCAACAGCCCACAGATCCAACCTGTGAAGCAGCAGAATGCATGAAGGCCATGGAGAGCAAGCCATCTAACAACCTTCAGATACCAGGTGAAATGGGCCATTGATCTTCCCAATATATTATCTTCGGCTTTTGCAGACAGAAGGTCTTGGCCCTATCAAAGTACCGCTGCACAAATCTTGCGTGGGGTGTAAGATTCTTATCTCCTCTCACCAAGAAGGGCTTCGGGAGGAAGGATGTCAAGATAATTAACTGCTTCAGGTGAGCCTCCTACAAGAACCTCTGTAAAACAGCATGTTCAGAAGCACTTCAGCTTACTAATTCACTAAATAGTAAGTGCTGAAAAGACTTACTGATGGTAAGCTGATGGGTTTCTTTTTTCAATTTTTTTTTTTTAACGTGTTGAGAAAACCTGGTAGATTGCAATCAATGGATGATCCTTGCAAACAGTGTTGAAGGGTATGGCACTCTCACTACGAAAGGTTCTACAGATGATCATCAGCCTGTAATTATTTTGAAATCCTATGAAAAACACAATCCAACCTTTATGTTACTTCTAACTAAGTCCACAGTATAATTTAAATTATGCACACAGATGTGATAATACCAAAAGTAAAATTCTAGTTTTCCTAAAAATTCTTCTACATGTTGAAAATGTACACATTTATTTCTCTCTCAATTTATTCATCACTTCTCATTTTAGAATATTTCCTACTTTACTCTTTACCCTGTTCATCGTTTGGTTTCTGCACAGACCATCTATTCTCTGTGTGCCTTTTCTGTGACCTCCTCTTTGCATTATTTTTAGGCTCTTTTGAAGGGTTTTTTCCATTGTGGTAACAAACACTATATCCTGTTGTGCTACCCCACCATTTATTTTGTCAAACAAATGCAGTGCTGTCTAGAATGCTGTATAATCGAGCCACTACTGCAGCTTCACTTTCTGAAAATTATAAGGGGAAGATAATTTCCGTTGATCCCAACTTTTCGATAATGCTTCCCAGTGAAAAGAGCACAGCATGCTGACTGAACATGCTACTTCACAGGCGAGTATACCTCTTACGGGTATCTTGTTTCCTTGAGAAATAGCTATTTTTTCTTTCAATTAGCTGAGTTCCACTTTAGAAATTTCTAATAAAAAAATCACCTCTCTATCATTGTTGCTAATCTTGACCTCCTGCCTGTTTGATATCCTCTGTAAACACCTCTGCATTCTGCAAAGATGGGACACTCTCCCCTTCAAAAAAGCAGAAAACACAAACAGAAAGCCCCAGAGCAACACAATCCTCTCATCCACCACCACCACAAACCCACAAGTAACACAATCCCCTTTCCCATCACTGACATCGCCACTGCGAACCTCCCCAGATAACACCACCCACTTGCCCATCACTAGCCCTACTGTATTTTTACCATCATCTTCCTCCCCAGCTGTACATCTTGTTTCTTCTTGACTTTAACCTGTAAACAGCTGGGGGCAAACTATGTTTTAACTTCTATCACAACAGGACCTCAGTCAGTTTGGAACTTGGGTGTACTGCTGCAAAATCCCCAGTATTAATAAATTTCAACTCCAAATAAGTAGTTAAAAGTAATAAAGAATTTCAGACTTTGAAAAATGTTTCACACATCCTAGAGTCCGATTTATGGTCTTATTCATCTTCAGATTTAGATGGGAAAAGAGTCTGGTGTGCCTTTATTTTCCAAGGCTTTCAACCACTTAACATTTCCTTCTGCTACAGAAGCGTAACTGTAGAAACCAGCCAACAACACGCTGCTCTACCTTCCGCTTCATCTACACACTCTCCTGGGAACAGCTAGCAGGCAATCCATTTTGTTTTACTTCCTAAATGGGCACGGTACATGACTCAGCGAGATTTGCACCGCTGTGGCCATTATATCAGTCTGGTGGTAAGCATGGTTGACGATCCAAAAAGTGAGGCACATAAATGTAATACGTGCTTTTTATCTGGACACAACGTTTCAGCAACCTTCCTGGACCCAGGTATTCATGTTTTTGGTTTTCCTCCAAACTGTTAGGTCATGTAGCAGTCTTCTTTCCCCTTTTACTGATCATCTAATTGCCAAGGCATTCATGAAAGGTTTCTTCTCCGCCTTATTCCAACAGGTTCATGAGACGCAGGTATCAGTTTGGCTCCAGCAATATGCCAGTAGTGCTCTGCAGTTTTGAGTGCATTAGCAAGGAACAACTGCAGCGCCTTCTCTTGCAGAATTCCTGCTTTTCAGCACAAATCTTTTTGAATTGTATAGCCTTTCTGAGATTCCTTCTTCAGCAAACTCCCTCAGCCTTTTACATATCTAGATCTGTCAGTGGAGGATACTTACCTTTTTCCCAAGTCTATCAACAAATATTCAAAAGAAACAGTTTCTGCTTCTTTTTCATCGTGCACAGAATAACTAAACTTGTCAGAAACATTTGCCACCAGTTACTGTAAGGGCTTAGGGAATCAATGAAGCTTCTACGTAGTTACAACTCCATATGTGGTTACTAGACATCCCAGTGGATCCCCTTCCTTTTGACCTGGTTATTTGAGATTTACATTTTTGGGTTTCCTGTCCTCTGAAACACCTATGAAGTTCAGAGTCAGAGGTGGACTACTGAATTATGTATGAATCCAGATATTCCAGAACCGTTTCTATAACACCACTTCCACCACCGCTTTCTAGATGATACATTTTAATAAATTTTTCAACTGAACAAGAAATTGAGGTCTGAACAGATCAGGTGAATATTATAAAAGTCGTCTTTCTCCAGGCACAGCACTGGCTGGTATGCAGGCTTTCTGCAGTGGTAAGCTGCAAAACTGCATTCCTCAGCGGTGCTAAGTAAGTTCATAAGTAGCAGCAGTCAAACACAGTTTTCATGATCCAAAACAGCGTCTACCTACCAGCAAGCACATCTGGCTTCTCCAGGTTCCAGAGAAAGCTCAAAAAAAAAAAAAAAAGTAAAATAAATACTTCTGAGGGGCTGGAATGTTTGTTCTCTTTTGTAACATAAAAAGTTGAAGGAGATCCTGCTCGGCACTGTACTCTCTTCAGGTGATCTGACATTCCACTTGTATAGGCAGGAGGTAAGGTTAAAATACCTTTCCTATTAACCGTTGAATCACTCTCCCTGTGGCACTCATCCTCAGTTAGAATCAAACGCAAACCAAACACTCAGGGTTTGGTTATTTCGGTAAATGTATCATT